CAGGTACCCATTTTACTGATGGGGAACATAGACAACAGGTGGAAAGAAACACGTCCAATGTTTCTACTCTGGCTGGTAATCGAACCCAGGCCCTCACCGTGTGAAGCGAGAGCGTTAACCACCAGGCCACCAGAGGCCACCAGAATGCATATCCACCAATTTCGCCTCCTATTTGAGAGGTGTCAACACAATCTTAACCTCTAGAGCACGAAAAATTCTTCCCATTATACCAACGTTTGTACAAAATTCAAAACCAAGATGGCAAGTCTCGTCTGCGCAGACGCAGGCTTTCCGTTTTCTATGACATAAATATTATTAAATACCGTATGGCCATCTATTTACATATAAATACTGAATTTCTGGAAAATATATACAGTATTTTCCACATGTCCCATTGATCATGTAGAGGGGTGAGAGATTTCCGAAGGACAGGTAAAAGTTACCGAAACCAGAAGGAAAAGTTAGGATGAGAGAAGAAAAGGAAAGTAATACGTAGGAGAGAAGGAGGAGATGAGGGAGGAAGGCCTGTAGATGCAAAAAAAAAAAGGGGGGGGTGACTGACCAGGATAATTAGCAATGGAAGGGTGTAGTAAAAAGAAAACGGGAAATTAAAGAGAAAAGAAATTTATGAATCGGAAATAGAAGAATAAAGGACGAAGGGAGGAAACGCCAAGATAAAATGTCAATTGGAAAATACCAATAAAAGACGTAATTACATATTTCATCTGCTGCTGGTGTTACTGGTGTAATGTTGCTGCTGCTCCTACTGGTGTTGCTGCTTCTGCTGGACATGGTTGAGTGGGGATACCTGAGTAACTTGCCTCAATGTTTACCTCGATGTTGGACTGCGGAAGAAGTTGAATCCAGTTATACGACTCCGCTCATATTTGTATTACTATGTTAGAATCACTCGCCTGACGTTCCTCAGCTAAACATGGCAGCAACAACGTGTGTCACGTCACTATAATAATTGTGTATAATAGAGATAAGTTGATGAATTTGGCACATGCTGAACGCTTGAGCAACTTTATTCTGAAACACTGCGCCTACACAGTAGGCTTCTTCAGTCGAATACAGAGGTGACTAAAATTAGATGACAGGAATAGTGGAGAGGCAAAGATGTGATGAGCCTTGAAGAAGCCTGCTGTGTGGGCGAAACGTTTCTGAAGAAAGATGCCAGCGTGTTGTAGGTGTGTCTTATTTATAAACTTGTCTGAGTTACGGTTATCAACTACCACAGCTCTGGCTGAAAGAGAAAGATTTTTATTCCTCTCTGGTGAAACAGGAAGGGAACAAGTGGAAGAAGAATGAAGGGAAGAATCAGAAAGGAAAACAAGCAGAAATGGAAGGAAGCAGGAAGGCAAACAAGCTGAATGGGAAAGCAGCGGAAAGGAAAGTAATAGACAGGGAAAAGTAGAGGCAGGATGGAAGCAGAAGAGATAATAAACAGAAAAGGGGAAGCAATGGAAAGGGAAGAATATAGTAAGAAACTGATGTCGTTTAAAAGGTATTAAAAAAAAAAACAAAGGAAAATACAACTAGGGAGAGAGCAGTTATGAGGTTTAAAGAGAAAGCAGCCTAGTACTAGAGAAAATATATGACCATCAACTGGCATGAAGAGAAATAGAACAGGAAGTACAAATTATTATTATAATTATTATTATCATTATTATTATTATTATATAAAATCTGTATGACACTTGTGGATTTAGCGCTTAGTTTTGATATTATTTTAAAATATTATATTTTCGTCATGAGGAAGCTCTAAACCCGTACGGGGGGTCATACAGCGCCTGGGGAAAATGGGAGGGAATCAGGTTAGATCCGAAAGGTAAGATAGCCTCATTTTCTTGGATCAAGAGTCTTGATTCAGACCCGGTGCAGGGCTCCGGATCCAAGGAATTGGAGCTATCTTCCCCGATCAAACCTTATTGCCTCCTATTTACCAGGTGGGGTATTATCCCCTACGGGTTTACAGGCCCTTTACTACCTACCTACATCATCATAAAAAGGTCAGGTGTTGTAACTTGATCCCCCAGGTGTAATATCGTCCTCATGCCTTTCTGGTGATTTTATATATTTTAGTTCCTTGATAATGTGAGAAATTACGAAAGCACTTAGAATTTCACTATTTTTTCACAATGGTTGTTCTGCATATTGTGATATCACCTGTTTACTGTGAACTTACATTATATAATATATATATATATATATATATATATATATATATATATATATATATATATATATATATATATATATATATATATATATATATATATGTCGAATAGGTAAAATTGGTCAATTAGCAAAACCTCATTTAAAATTAAGTCCTTTCTAAAAATTTCTCTTATATGTGTAAAGATATATTTTTTCAGTTATGTTAATGTAAAAATTTATAATTTTGCACCAAAAGAACATTAGAAAATTTACCTAACCTTATTATAACAACGCAATTTAATTTAGCCTAATCCAACTAAATACATTTTGTATAAGTTTACAATAATTTAATAATAAACAAACACAATGAAATGTATTTTTTTCGTATTACTGAATACACAAATTATTGTATACACAAATTATTGTATACACAAATTATTGTATACACAAATTATTGTATACACAAATTATTGTATACACAAATTTTCGCTTGTCTTATCCGACAAGAAGAGCCTTGCTATTAAGCCAAAATCACAAGTTTTACCTATTCGGCACGACATACATATGAGAGAGATCTTCCCTATGAGGACAGACTGAGGGCTCTGAATCTGCACTCTCTAGAAAGGCGTAGAATTAGGGGGGATATGATTGAAGTGTATAAATGGAAAACAGAAATAAATAAAGGGAATGTAAATAGCGTACTAAAAATATCTAGCCAAGACAGGACTCGCAGCAATGGTTTCAAGTTAGAAAAATTCAGATTCCGGAAGGATATAGGAAAACACTGGTTTGGTAATAGAGTTGTTGATGAGTGGAACAAATTCCCCAGTACAGTTATAGAGGCTAAAACGTTGTGTAGTTTTAAAAATAGGTTGAATAAATACATGAGTGGGTGCGGGTGGGTGTGAATTGGATCTGGCTGGGTTGTGCTACTGGGTCAGATGTCGTGCTCCTTCCTTAAGTGAATGTGACCTGACCTAACTAGGTTAGGGCATTGGCTTAAGCCGGTAGGAGACTTGAACCTGCCTCGCATGGGCCAGTAGGCCTGTTGCAGTGTTCCTTCTTTCTTATGTTCTTATGAGACACAGCCAGACAGGATTCGCAGCAATGGATTCAAGTTGGAAAACAGTATAGAAAGAATATATGAAAGCACTGTTTTTGTTAAAAATTGTGGACGAGTGGAACAAACTCCCGAGTAACGTCATTTAATATGTTGTGTAGTTTTAAAATAGGTTAGATAAATACTTGAGTGGGTGTGGGTGGGTGCAAATTAGACTTGACCAGCTTGGGCCAGTAGGCCTGCTCAGCGCTCCTTTCTTATGTTCAGTAAGGAATCAAGAGCTCTGGTACTTACAATGTTTACCTCTAGGGACCTACGAGGTATACTCTAGACCCACGAGGTATACTCTGGAGACCCATGAGGTATACTCTGGGGACCCATGAGGTATATACTCTGCGCACCAGAGGTATGTCTGCGCACCACGAAGTATAGCTCTGCGCACTGAAGGTATAGCTCTGCGCACCACGAGGTATGAGAGCGCGCACCTGGCGGTAGTAATACACACACACGCTCACTGGTCTAAAAGCACGTGTACCCTACTACACCCATCTCACTAACCTGTCTCTCCCGACGTTTCGCTTTGCGAAAGCACAAAGAGGATGAGGCTGGACACCAGGACACTATATACAGTAAAATATGTGATTGAGTAATTTTGACAGATAACTCAAAGACAGTTGCGAGGAGGCTGGTTTCTGGTACCTGAGTAATAGGGGGGAGGGGGCGGTTGGAGGGATCGGGGTAGGAAAGGGGGGCTCTTGCATAGGGTTGTGGGTTGCCAGCTATCTAATGTTCTTTTCCCGCTTCCAAATATCGGTTTATTTCTGTCTTTGATGGAAATTTTTATCGGTGAAGTTCTAGGAGGTTATTATTTGCAGTCTAGGTGCCATGTTGATGAGGGAGAGAGAGAGGGAGGGTTTAGCAGTGGGAAACTGTTGGAAGGAAACCCCAAGTGGGAGGAGTTGGAGGGAAGGGGGGTGTGTCAAAATATAGGCCGGAGGGGGGTGGGAGAGGAGGGGGCCGGAGATCTTGGCCAGAAGCGGGTATTCTACTACCCCACATTACCTCGTCTTCTCTCCCACACTCCCACACAGCAGAGCGTCTCCTTATAAACTCAGTGAGTACTGAAGCTCCCGTCTACCCTTCCCTTCGTCTCAGCTGCTCCGTCAAGACTCACCGGAAATAGACGGGCTTTCTGCGAAGGGTGGATAGCGGAAGTGATGTTTGGGGGAAGAGTAAGAGGAATGAATGGAGGCGGGACTGACACAGATGAGAAGATAAACAAGAGGTTTCCCCTGTAGTGCTCCGTCATCTGGTCGTCTAGGTACGCTGGCTTCTAGCGAGCTCCTTCACATGGAAGGAGGTGCAGTGAGCGTACGTCTTTGCTGAGTAAGACGGCAAGTTGAGGGAAAGAAACAGAGGGAAATTTACTAGTATTGATGGGTGTGTCTCACACTAAGACATCCACTGGTCGTGTGTGTATACGGGCTGGCAGGACCCCAATTAACATCGTGTGCGCTTACAAAATCGTGTGCGTTTCCGAAATCGTGTACATTTACAAAATCCGTTTGGGTAAGTTGAAAAGGTAGACAAGAAACGCCAATGTTATAAAAGTGTATATCATCCTATATTTACTTCTTTTAATCAAGTGTAAAACAATACGAACTAGAGGAACAAAATTGATTGAAAACCTAATAAGAAAAATAGGAATCAAACACATACGACAATGATTTTTTAATATTTAAATGGCTTAATGAAGAGATGATTGTGTGATGTGTTGTGCCTGTAGTATATATAACTTGCACTACATATTTGTGTTGCAGCTGCAAGTTGTGTTACGTTTGAGTTCTTACTATAGAAGAAGAAGAAGAAGGAAAAGATCTTTTCAGATATTAACCCGCAGGGTTAGTAACCCACGATAACCCAAAATAGTCTATTAATGTAAACTATTTACATTGAGGTTGTTCTGATCCTGTTCACAATGCGACCTACAGCAGTCTTCTAACACCCAGGTACTGACTGCTACTTAAACGTCCTTCAGTTGTAACCAAAATTCGTAAATGTGGTTCGCGTAGCAAATTATTCTACATACCTAGAAGACGCTACAGGATATATATATATATATATATATATATATATATATATATATATATATATATATATATATATATATATATATATATATATATATATATATATCTGAATGATATATACACCTTTCGGTGTATATATCATTCAGATATAAGCAAACTTTATATACAATATGAGCTTACCGAGGAAAAATTAGAAATCAACGCTTGTTTGAAATTTGTGGCTTATTTATAATTATTATTAGTAGTAGTAGTTGTAGTAATAGTAGTAGTAGGAGTAATAGCTGTATATTTAGAGGAAAGCGTTAAACTCTTAAGGGTTATACAACCTGAAGAATGGGAGGCACTCGGGTTCGATCCAAGGAAGAGGAGGTTAAATTCCTTGCATTAAGAGCCCCTCAGTTGTATTGTAAACCAGTGGCAATGTATTTTCGAGAGTGTTTTAGTGAATTTTAAAAAACAGAGACTGCAAATTTTAGAAAGTATTCTGTAAATATTTAGTGACAGTCATTCAATTTCCCCCCAAAAAATATTACACACACACACACACACACATATATTATATATATATATATATATATATATATATATATATATATATATATATATATATATATATATATATATATATATATGCAAAACACTGTGGAAGGATAGCGAAATTCCAAGCGCTCCCTTGATAATTTGAAAAGTCACGAAAGCGCTTGTAATTTCTCTTCTTTCACAGTGGTTATTTTGCATATTCTGATATCACCTGTTTACTGTTACCTTATTGCATATATATGTATGTATTGGAAAGCCCCTTGTTATATACAGCATCTTCGTTTTTATTTTCATTGCAGAAACCAATTAATCAGAGCATTTGTGAAACTGGGTTATTATATACACTTTAGAAACCACTGGACTTATGAACTTAGACACCTCAGTGGTCGTAAAAACTTGTCTATGTTTACAAAGGTGAGAGAGTGAAAATTGGAGCGGAGAGAGTGAACGGTGGGTGGGAGGGAGAGAAAGTGGGAGGGATGGTAGGAGGAAAAGAAGTAGGGAGAATGGGAGGGAGGCACAGATGAAAGTGGGCGAGGGGGAGGCATAGTCGGACGAAGAGAGGTAAGGAGTGAGAAAGGGGGAGAGGGATTGGGAGGGAGGATGGAGGGTGGGGGAGAGTGATGAAGAGAGATAGAGAGGGAGGGAGGACGGGAGAGAGAGGGTTGAAAGGAAGAAAGAGTGCAAGAGGAAGGGACAGAGGTAGAAAGTACGAGAAACGGTTACGGGGGGGGGAGCGGGGTTCTAAATTACTATTGTAATCTTCAGAAAGCGTTAATCCGCAAGGGCCATGCAACGCTGGGGAGGATGGGAGGCAATCAGGCTCGATCTACAGAAAAGAAGGCCAGCTCCATTTCCTTGGACGAAGAGCCCTTCACCAACCTCAAGGCAGCCATACCCTTCTATCTTGAAGAGTGGAAAAACTAAAACATAAATGAAAAAAGTCACACAGTTCTCGCTGGGAAATTATGATAATAAAAATTACATAAAATTATTAAGGATATTATTATTTGGTTTGGGTAGTGTATGCTAGGCTGCAAGAACACCATTTCCGTTATTAACTAACGAGGATAAACCACAGATTAATTACACTGGACAGTAAATAACTCTTGAAGGTTAATAAGCCCCAGAGGGTTCATGACCCACGAAGTGTGGCTTATTTCCATTGTGGTCCATAGGTACTCTCAAGGATGCGACCCACAACACTCACCTCACACACAGGTACCTATTTTTACTGCTAGGTAGGTAGGGGCAGAGTAGTAAGGTTTGCCGGTCTTGTCCCGGCCTGGGTTTTTTCCTGGTGGTGACCCAACGTAGGGGCAGAGAGGTTGTAAGGAAACGTGTTTGTACGTTTCGCTGGCCTAGGTATCGAACCCAGCATCTTTTGGTTGTGAGTTGAAGTTTCACCACTTGCAGTACGGAGAACCTCCTCTGGTAGGCTTTGCAATTTCAAGGCTTAATTAATAAAATGTTTATAATTATATACATTTTATTAATTATTATAAATATTTTTTGGTAATATAATATTAACCATAATTTTTAAAGAGGTGGACCGATAAGCCTGCGGAAGGCCTCGGTCAAATGACCAAAAGCTTCAGTTGTGGGTCATCATATGACTAAGATCCACGTCAGGAAACACTTGGTCCTGTTTCCTGGACATACTTAAAGTCAGTGCCAGATCAGCCGGGCTGTGGTTCGTACGTTGGACTACGTGCGGCCAGCAGTAACAGCTTAGTTGATCAGGCCCTGATCCACCGGGAGGCCTGGTTGTGGCCCCTTTCTTTGGTTATCCTGGGTAATTTACACATGTTCCTATGTATGATAATTATACTTATGTGTACCTGTACCTAAACTTAGTGGAAGGATCAAATTACTATTGGGTTATGTAGATACCACTGTCATTATCATCGAAGAAATTGAGGATATTAGTTTTAGTGGGATAACGTTTGAATGCTTCTTCCCATTGGCTTCAAATCTTCCTGTGCTTTGATATTTAACCGTACTGGAAGTATACATCATGCACTGTCTTGTTCCTGTTTGTGTCCATATAGTAGAAGTGGCTGGGCTCGTGGGATACCTTGCTAGTTTCGAGCATAGACCGAAACATATCCAGTTTAAATAGAACAAACATGTACATTCTTTCTGCTTTATCCTAACTAATAACTCACTCTGAAAACCAATTTAAAACCCAGTTTACACCCCAATTTACAACTAAGTATACAATTAAATTTACAAATAAATTTACTACCCACTTTTATTATTATTATTATTATTATTATTATTATTATTATTATTATTATTATTATTATTATTATTATTATTATTATTATTAGGTTTGCATTCTAGTTTACAGATTACGGGTTTATATCATTATTATTACTGTATATTATTATTATATTATTATTATTATTAAAAACTGGAGCTAGACCCGTATGAGTCATACGATGGTTTGTTTGTATTATTACTTCCATTTATTTCATTTATTGCGGAAGGGAAAGGGAGTGAGGTATGTTTTTTTTTTTTTACGTCAAATGCAAACTTGACGTCGAGTTTCTGTTGCTACTCCGCACGTTAAGAGCGAAAGTCGTCCGCCTGAGGACAGGAAATTGACTCTTATGCTGTTGAATTGATGGAAACACAGCTGCAAATTCTTGTGTGTGTGTGTGTGTGTGTGTGTGTGTGTGTGTGTGTGTGTGTGTGTGTGTGTGTGTGTGTGTGTGTGTGTGTGTGTGTGTGTGTGTGCGTGCGTGCGCGCGTGTGTGTGTGTGTGTGTGTGTGTGTGTGTGTGTGTGTGTGTGTGTGTGTGTACTCACCTAGTTGTACTCACCTAGTTGAGGTTGCGGGGGTCGAGTCCGAGCTCCTGGCCCCGCCTCTTCACTGATCGCTACTAGGTCACTCTCCCCGAGCCGTGAGCTTTATCATACCTCTGCTTAAAGCTATGTATGGATCCTGCCTCCACTACATCGCTTCCCAAACTATTCCACTTACTGACTACTCTGTGGCTGAAGAAATACTTCCTAACATCCCTGTGATTCATCTGTGTCTTTAGCTTCCAACTGTGTCCCCTTGTTGCTGTGTCCAAACTCTGGAACATCCTGTCTTTGTCCACCTTGTCAATTCCCCTCAGTATTTTGTATGTCGTTATCATGTCCCCCCTATCTCTCCTGTCCTCCAGTGTCGTCAGGTTGATTTCCCTTAACCTCTCCTCGTAGGACATACCTCTTAGCTCTGGGACTAGTCTTGTTGCAAACCTTTGCACTTTCTCTAGTTTCTTTACGTGCTTGGCTAGGTGTGGGTTCCAAACTGGTGCCGCATACTCCAATATGGGCCTAACGTATACGGTGTACAGGGTCCTGAACGATTCCTTATTAAGATGTCGGAATGCTGTTCTGAGGTTTGCTAGGCGCCCATATGCTGCAGCAGTTATTTGGTTGATGTGCGCTTCAGGAGATGTGCCTGGTGTTATACTCACCCCAAGATCTTTTTCCTTGATTGAGGTTTGTAGTCTCTGACCCCTAGACTGTACTCCGTCTGCGGCCTTCTTTGCCCTTCCCCAATCTTCATGACTTTGCACTTGGTGGGATTGAACTCCAGGAGCCAATTGCTGGACCAGGTCTGCAGCCTGTCCAGATCCCTTTGTAGTTCTGCCTGGTCTTCGATCGAGTGTATTCTTCTCATCAACTTCACGTCATCTGCAAACAGGGACACCTCAGAGTCTATTCCTTCCGTCATGTCGTTCACAAATACCAGAAACAGCACTGGTCCTAGGACTGACCCCTGCGGGACCCCGCTGGTCACAGGTGCCCACTCTGACACCTCGCCACGTACCATGACTCGCTGCTGTCTTCCTGACAAGTATTCCCTGATCCATTGTAGTGCCTTCCCTGTTATCCCTGCTTGGTCCTCCAGTTTTTGCACCAATCTCTTGTGGGGAACTGTGTCAAACGCCTTCTTGCAGTCCAAGAAAATGCAATCCACCCACCCCTCTCTCTCTTGTCTTACTGCTGTCACCATGTCATAGAACTCCAGTAGGTTTGTGACACAGGATTTCCCGTCCCTGAAACCATGCTGGCTGCTGTTGATGAGATCATTCCTTTCTAGGTGTTCCACCACTCTTCTCCTGATAATCTTCTCCATGATTTTGCATACTATACATGTCAGTGACACTGGTCTGTAGTTTAACGCTTCATGTCTGTCTCCTTTTTTAAAGATTGGGACTACATTTGCTGTCTTCCATGCCTCAGGCAATCTCCCTGTTTCGATAGATGTATTGAATATTGTTGTTAAGGGTACACATAGCGCCTCTGCTCCCTCTCTCAATACCCATGGGGAGATGTTATCTGGCCCCATTGCCTTTGAGGTATCTAGCTCACTCAGAA